TATATATATATATCAATTAATTGATGCTTAATTGTATTCAATTCAATGCACTCACTTTACATTCAACCCTTCTATATTATTATATTACCTTGAAATGCAAGTATTTAAGTGTGTTGCCAATTTGAATTCGAATTCGGCTTCAACTTAGTATATTGCGAACGCCAAGATAATTTATAAACAAATTATTGTACCTGGCATCAACATAACACTATTTTCAAATTCAAAATTTTGTCAACACACGATTCAATAATTAAACCAAAGTTATATAAACTTTTGTCGTGATTATCAAGACTATAGAATTAATTAAAGTTCTCACGTTTGGTGAGGAAATAGCCTGGAAATAGATGTCTTTGTGCAAGGTATGGACCATTCTCACAAATTGTTTAAAATCAAGAAAAAGACAATTTAATCAAACCTCACCTGCTTCGAATAGTCTTTGTGTCCACGCATCTTGAATTCCACTCGATAATTAATAATAAATATGGTAAATTTGACTAGGGACCCTAACCTTTCGTCGCTGTAGCGTTAATGTCTCCCGCTGATAGAAAATGCTTATTTAAACGTTTAAATTGATTTTAATTACTTCTGAACATTTCAAAAGGTAACTTCAACTTTCATTTAGGGTCTGTTTGATCGCAAATGAAGAAAAGAGCAAATAAATTTCATGTAAGTTGAAAAAGAAAAAATCATCAAAATCGTAGGAATTCGATTTCCACTCAATTGATCAAAAACATGCTTTAAATGTTTATATCTTGGAATTCGAACTCCATTTCTATTTTCTAATCAAACAGTCAAAGCAGAAAACGAATTCATTAGATGTGACATTTTCCATGAAATTTAATGCCATCAAATGAACCTTTAGATTTTCAAATCTGCATAAACATATCTCCTTGCTTCAACTTATTTGTAACATTACGTGAAAGTAATATCAAAATAAGTATTTTCTGGTAGACAGGAACATGAATGACAAAAGTTTTAAAAGGTTAACAACATGGATGCAATAAATGATGGATCGGGAAAAAATATGTCATAGTTATAAAAAGCTTAGAAGCCTTTTTGAATTTATTGTAATATATATACGAAAATGATCTCTTAATCATCGGTACTTATCTTATGTTAAGTTCTGGGACATGGCACACCATTTAATTGGTGTGCGTAGGAGATAGTTCCTGATATATACAATGAAATAAATTGAATATTCCACACGATGCTTCCTCTTTCCAGCCGAGAAGGCTCGTATGAAACCTCCTCTCAAAGTACAGCACCCAAATCCTAAAGTCATACAGCACTATAAAAACCCTTTCTCAGTCCCTTATTTTCCACTCAAAAACAACAACTTTGAGTCCAAAATCAAGAAATATATACAACTTTTTTTTCAGTTTCCTCTGAAATCCTTATATTTTAATCGTAATCGATAATGTCTTCTTCATCTGATGATAGTTCAACTCTTGAAATTATACGCCAACATCTTCTTGATGATTTTGCCTTCATGGAAACTTATTGCCCAGTTTCCAGTTTTTCAGAATCCCAGATTTCTCGAACTTCAAGCAGTTCAAGTACTGTAATATCTGAACATACAACTGGTTCTGTCTTTAATCCAGATTTCAGCTTTGATAACAAGAATAATACAAGCACGAATCTTGAATATTCTGGGGTTTTCAGCTCGAAAACTGATTACGATTACTCGGAATTTGAAACGAAGCCTGTAAAACAAACAAACTTCAGTGAAAGGAAGCCTTCGTTGAATATTTGTATCCCTCAAGTGAAGAAAATGGAGTGGAATAATACAGTTAAGGAGGTGGGGCAGAAAGTTCAAGATTCCGGAGAGAGGAAGCATTACAGGGGTGTCAGGCAGAGGCCATGGGGGAAGTTCGCAGCAGAGATACGCGATCCTAACCGGAAAGGTACTCGGGTTTGGCTCGGGACTTTCGATACGGCCGTGGAGGCGGCGAAAGCTTACGACAGGGCGGCTTTTAATCTGAGAGGAAGCAAAGCAATAGTCAA